AAGCACCTGCAACGTCCCCAGTGCTGAGACGGGTAGTTTCTTAGCATGACTCCAGGTGTTATTCCTCCAAATAAGAGCCTCGGGCTCTTTGCTCTTCCATGAGTTGAAATGCTGTTTCCTGGGTCAAGTGCCTTGCTATTGGAGCCTCAGAGGAGAGGCGGGAAGGCAGGGAAGCAAAGCAAAACTGTCGTGACGAACATGAGTAAATGTCTATTGAGCAAATACTACACCACGTGCAAAGTCGAGTCAATTCGACCCAGCCCCAGCCCTCTGGGAGTTTACAGACTAGCTGGTGAGACTGACATCCTGCAGAAGATCCATGAAGTAAAAATATTTAGCAATAAGTCCCAAATTGTGATAAGGGCTATAAAGGAAGCAGAGTCCTTTGGTGGAGAAAACAGGGCAGGACCTTCCTAGACTGTGCAGTTAGAGAAGACGTGTCTGGGAGTTCATACCTGGAAACAGGAAGCCATACACTAAACGTTCCTGATCTGGGCACATGCCAAGTTTGGGAAGGGATGGCATGCATGTGTACGTGCATGCTCAGCTGCTTCATTCATGTCCGACTCTTTGCGACCCCATGGACTGTAGCCCGCCAGGCTCATCTGTCCATGGGAATCTCCAGGCCAGAAGACTGGCATGGGTTGCCATGCCCTTCTCCAGGGGGTCCCCAACCCTGGGACTGAACCCCCATCTCTGCCTTGGCAGGTGGGTTCTTTACCCACTGAGCCACCTGGGAAACCCTAGGGAGGGGACAGGGTGACAGGAAAAAATATCTGTGGAAAGGAATGGTGGGGTGGATGGAGGAACTGAAAATAAGTCAAGGCTGAAAAAAGGTCTTGATGACTGGAGAAAATCAGCAAGAAGAACCAGGTAAGAGGGCCTTGGAAACTATGGCGAGAAGTCTAAGCTTCCATGGAAAGACATGGAGGGTTTTCAGTAGGAGAGTGACGATCATATCAGTGGCCTGTGGCTAGTTCCTGTGGGTTGGGCGGGAGCCCAGCTTCATCTCAGGGATGAGATGGCCTAGGGTGGGAGCTCTTAGTGACTTGGGGTGGGAGGATGGCAGGAGAGATGACAAAGGCATGTGGAGGCAGGAACCACAGCAGCATGTGCTGCTGACCAGGCTGTGGAGAGGGGTGTGGAGGGTGACAGTGAGTGCCAATGGCTCCAAGACGACACCCAGGTTTTGGAACTGGGGCATGACGGAACATTAACTCTGATACGGGGGGCTCAGGAAGAATGGGACCTTTTAAAATTCATGGGGGATTCCCCTGGTGGTCCAGGGGTTAAGAAGACTCGGCAGTTTTATAGTGGTGGCCCGGGTTCAATCCCTGATCTGAGAACTAAGATCCTGCAAGCCTTGAGGTGCAGCACACACAGAAAAACAAATAAATGAAAGTAAATTTTAAAACCATGGGACATGAACAGGGAAAGAATGCAGAACTGCATTTAAAGCATCATGAGTTTAAGCTGTCTTTTGAGATCCAGCTGTAAGCACTGCGTGAGCAGCAGAGCTGTGAGGCTGAAGGAGGAGTTCCAGGTGGAGAGGTCAGAGTGCAGAGTCCCAGACAGAGCCCGGAGCCTGGAGCAGGAACACGGCCGTCTCAGGAGTGGGCGCAGGAGATCAGGGCAGACAGGAGGGAGTCCTAAGCAGTCTCAGGCGATAGCAGTGAGGAAGAGGTGAACACTCAAATATTTAATTAGAACAACAAGTGTGTGCTTTCGTGAAACTATCCTCCACGATACTGTGATGGCGGCTGCAACATTATACATTTATTTGCCCAAACCTGCCGAACTCTCCCAGAGAAAACGCGAATCCTAATATGGACTACAGACTTCAGTTAATAACATGAGCTTCCCAGTTGGCGCTAGTGGTACAGAACCTGTCTGCCAAAGTGAGAGATATAATGAGACATGGGTTCCATCCCTGGTTTGGGAAGATCCCCTAGAGGAGGGCATGGCAACCCACTCCAGTATTCTTGCCTGGAGACTCCCATGGACAGAGGAACCATACCACACACACATGCAAGGTGGTAATAATAAGAGAAACTGGGGTTGTGGGGCAAGGTGGGAAGAGGAGATCTATGGGAATTCCCAATACTCTCTGCTCAATTTTTCTGTAAATCTAAAACTGCTCCAGATATCAATGAACTTATTTACAAAACAGAAAGAGACTCACAGACATAGAAAACAAACTTACAGTTATCAAAGGGAAAAGGAGATAAATTAGGACTTTGGGATTAGCATACACATACTACTCTACATAAAATAGATCACTACTATTACTCCTGTATAGCATAGGAAACTATACTCAAAGCCTTGTAATGACCTATAATGGAAAAGAATCTGAAAAAGAACATATGTACATTTACTGAGGGCTTCTCTTGGGACTCAGATGGTAAAGAATGTGCTTGCAATGTTAGAGACCTGGGTTTGATCCCTGGGTTGGGAAGATACCCTGGAGAAGGGAACGGCAACCCACTCCAGTATCCTTGCCTGGAGAATTCCATGACAAAAGGGGCCTGGTGGGCTACAATCCATGGGGTCACAAAAATCAGACACGACTGAGTGACTAACGCTAACTAACATGGATAACTGAACCACTCGCTGTACACTTTAAACACAGAATTGTAAATTAACTATACTTCAATTAAAATAAAAGATGGATGATAAAAAATAAACCTGGATTTATTTATGACAAAAAAAATTTCTCTAAAAATAGTTTGCTAATTTTAGAAGCAAGCATGGGCTTTCAGATCTGGCTAACAAAAAACAAATCGGGAAGGTGTCAGAGGCTTTCCTGAAAAGGGAAAACAGCTTAAAACAATATGGTTTTTGTTTTTTTTTTTTAAGATATGTGTTCTTATAAGCCTAGCTTTAGCACAGGACAAACCAAAGACCTAAGAGGAATCATTAGCTATCCACCACTGTTCTGTAACTTGAAATCTCTTCTCAGAGTAAAGGATTTGAGAAGCTGGCAGAAAGCTTTTGGATCAATCACAAGATAGTTGTAAAACATCGATCCTTTTTCCCTTTTCAAATCAAAACACATGTTCCCCAGATCAAAAGAAATATCTTCTGGGTCAATCAGAAACAGATTTTAAATTCAACTCCCACTCTTGGGACCTGAGTGACACTGAACAAATCCCCTTCAACTTTCTGAGGCTCAGTTCCATTCATCCGTAAACTGCAGAGAATGTTTATACCAGACGCTTGCTGTGAAGGCTAAAAACATCTGGCATTACTGTCCTGTTATAAATTATGTTAAGGAAATTACAGGTATTATTACTATTATCATCATCACTAATAATATTAAGCACTGGACATCACACTGAATGCTTATTGTCATAACTTTGTTGACTCTTTCCAACAACCCTGTAAAGTTAGCATCCCTAACTAACCCATTATTAAGATGAGAAAAGACTCAGAGAGGTTCAGTAACTTGCCTAAGATCACACAGCTGCTAAACAGTTGAGAGTAAAATATGAACCCAGCTTAAGTTTGTTTCCAAGATGCTCTCAGTGGCCTATATATAGACTGCCCATCTCAGTACAAGTTTACATTATAAGTAAAATCTTTATTTTTAAACTCACACATTTTATTTCATGCATTACATTATGTTAGACTTTACTACGTCACTGGTCTTACTTGGACGTCAATATTGTAGGCAGTCTACAAGGTGGCTTCAGCAGGAGGGAAATGAAGATGAATTACACTGGTTTTTCTCACTAAGATTCAGAAGAAATTAATCACCCCTTGATTCTTTCTTTATTGTCTCCAAAAGAAAAAAAAAAAAAAAGATACAATGAGTTTGCTCCTTGGGACCTTCCAAAATCTACAAACCCTGCCCTCCATCTGCACCTGGTCATCCAGATGGTGATGTCCCTTAGTCAGGACGGAGGTCTTTCCCCAGGGTCTAACTTGGTCACACTCCTGGAAGGTCCTTATTTTGTCCTAAGAGTCTACCTGGTTCTCAGCTGTTGCTACTGTTGTTTAGTCACTAAGTCATGTCTGACTCTGCGACCTCATGGATTGTAGCCCACCAGGCTCCTCTGTCCATGGGATCTCCCTGGCAAGAATACTGGAGTGGGTTGCCATTTCCTCCTCCAGAGGATCTTCCCAACCCAGGGATTGCATCCAAGTCTACTGCTTGGCAGGCGGATTCTTTACCACCTGGTAAGCCCCTGGTTCTCAGTACTTTTCCTAAAGCCCATTTATTGTCCAGGTAAGAATAATTACAGCAAGTCTTTCACTATATTTCTCTGTTATTTCTGTATTTCCTTTGAAAGTGTTTTTTAAGTGTTTGAGATAATTTCAAAGGAAAAAGTGTTAGTTGGTAAAGACCTGTGAGATAGTGATGGTTGATATTTTACATTAATTTTTATAGAAAAAATTCAGTCTTTCTTTTCTTTCTAAGGTGTGTTTCCCCAAGAATTGAACTTTTGCTAAACCCACAAAATCCTAATTTTGTGGCCCTTTGACCACCTCCATTACTCCGTGTGACTAAACCCTTCCCAACCTCCATATGAGCTGTGTAGACACATAAGTGTGTGTAGACACACAGCTGGTGCTCTGGCATAACATGCACATACTCCCACACAGTAACTTTCCTAGATGTGTGTACGTCATTGAATGCACGTCTCAGAATATTAAGTAAACTTCAGAGCTCCGAACCAGAGACTTAAGTATCAGAGTCTTCACAGAGAGACCCCATGCTTTCTGGACTTCAGATTGAAAGAAAAAAAAAAAAGGAAAAAAAAGAAAGAAAGATAAGACTTTTAGTTCCTTCATAAACTCTGATATGCTCTGAAAAGGCAAGTCAAGTAGGAAAATTTTTCTTCACAGGAATTTTTTTTTTAATGCCTAAACGAGACGTGAGAACAGGGGCTGCCTTATGCTGCAGCCAGCACAGGCAGTCAAACATTCCGTCAGCAGGATCCCAGCCAGGCTGCACAGCGCGCTTTTATAAAGCTGGCCCCAGGCATCTCAGGGCAAGATGTGGCTGTGAAGTCTACTCGGCCCTTAGTACTCCGGAGGCGCTGGCACGGTGGCTGTCAGACTTGCCCCAGAGCCATGGCAAAGAATGGACTTGTAATTTACATCCTGGTTATCACCTTGCTCCTGGACCAGACCAGCTGCCATGCATCCAAGTTCAAAGCCAGGAAGCACAGCAAACGCCGAGTGAAAGGTAACAGGGTGCCTCTGTCAGTAGAACTCTAGGCTTGCTCAGAGTGGGGAGGAGTTGGACGATGTTCATTTCCAGACTCCCCCAGGAGACTATTTCTGGTGGCAGTACTATGGCTTCATGCGGATATGGCATTTTCAGGGGACCGAGTGACCTCTTAATTCTCTGGGGCTGTTTGACATTTAAAGGAATCATATGATAGGATTTTGGTTTTGTAGGATAAAAAAGGCTTTTGCAAAAAGACTTTCTGTATTGTATACCCTTTATCAGGTGAGCTTAGGCAAGAGAATGGTCATTAGAGTGTGACAACCTGGATACAGCATCTGCTATTTGGAAAGAGGAATCAAGTAGAACAAATCAATTAATAGAGTATACTGTTTCACTCATAGATATTGTACAGCTGTTCAAATTTATCTGTAAGATAACTATAATCTTATTCAATGTGTATTAGAGGATAGAGCTATTGGTAATGTGACTTCCGTTTCATCAATAGATATATTTTCATATCCCTGGGAATATAGGGACAGTCTGTATTATATGTTTAAGCTTTTTCATGTCATAGAGAAGTTTTAAGTCTTTCACTTAAAAATATTTCAACACATAAGTCATATAGCATTTGAAGACATGTTAATGCAAAACAATCTCCAAGCAATTCCAATTTGCAGTGGCTTGAATTGGGCTGAAAAAGTGAAAATGTCAGTCACTCAATTGTGTCCAGCTCTTTATGACCCCATGGACTGTAGCCCACCAGGTTCCTATGTCCTTGAAATTCTCCAGGCAAGAATACTAGAGTGGCTTGCCATTCCCTTCTCCAGGAGATCTTCCTGTCTCAGGGATTGAACCAGGGTCTCCGGCTTTGCAGGCAGATTCTTTACCACTGAGCCACCAGGGAAGCCCTGAATTGGTTTAAGAAAGATAAAAATTCTTGCAAAGAACAGAGATAATGGCAATGTACAAGCAACACACTGAAACTAAATCAAAACTAAATCATCAAGAAAGGCGTGGTGTGATGTGTATCTCATTCTGAGTTATTTTCATATAGAATATTTCAAGATAAATATTGACACTATTTCCCCATCAATTTCACTTCAGTAGTAACAAAACACAAACAATAATATCAACAGTTAAAGTCTTGATTTAACACAACACGAATAGCTGGCTGGTGAAAAGGGAGCTTCTCTTGTTGTGTCATGTTTTTAAGATTATGAAGTGCCCTACTTTAGGTCTGATGTAAGGTTTCTTGTTTCTTTTTTTGCTAATTGCTTTATAACATTGTGCTGGCTTCTGCCATACGCCACCATGAATCAGCCAGGTATACATGTGTCCCCTCCCTTCTGAAGTCCCCTCCCATGGCCCACCCCAGCCCGTCCCTCTTAAATGGAATTTTTTTTCTTAATGAAATGCTACACTTCTCTGTTACCTCCTTTAAAGAGAGATTAAAATATTTCTCATGAGCGATGAAGTATCTAGTGGAAGATGAGGGCAGGGGAAGGAAGGGGAAAGATGTGGCATTTCTTCTGGGTGATGCGGTATGTTTTGTAGCCAGCATCTCTTTACCACGAAGAAGGAGTGGTCAGCTGGTGACCACCCAGCAGGGAAGTGGGGAGGGGTATGATTATGTGAATGTGTGTGTGTGTTCCTGAAATAGCTGCAGTTCAGGGCATTATGTTCTATCCTCCAAGGCACACACACACACAAGTGTACACACATGCTTTTGTTTGCTTTTTAACCAACTGGGTCCAATCCTAGATATCATCCTTCCAAAGCAGTTTTGCTCATTTTTTGCTGTGAGATCCAAGAAAGTAGATTCTACAATACACGAAGCCATTAGCCTAAACCTGTTAAACAGTTCTTTTCCCCCATACATTTTAACTGCCTGGAAATAATACCAAATCTTATGAAATCAAAAGCAAAAGTCATTTTTTTCTCTCTCAATTCTTTCCATAGAATGAACCATGATTAACTGCTAAGAGATAATATTCCCAGAGTTTTCTTTGATGCCCAATTAAAAATTGATTTGTTGTTGTTTAGTTTATAAGTTATGTCTGACTCTTTGCGACCCCATGGACTGTAGCCCCACCAGTCTCCTCTGTCCATGGGATTTTCCAAGCAAGAATACTGGAGTGGGTTGCCATTTCCTTTTCCAGGGGATCTTCTCAACCCAGGAAACAAATCCGAGTCTCCCACTTGGCAGGCAGATTCTTTACTATTCTGCCACCCGGGAAGCCCTACTCTTAACAAAATAAGTGTTGGCTGTCTAAAGTACTTGGCAGACAAATTAATTGATTTTATCTGTTAACTCTTGGATAACCTCACATATAAGGCATTCCTCAACCCTTTTAAAAGCTGCGTAACGTTCCATGTGTGGATGGGTTATGGCTTATTTAATCTGTTCTTTCTTGTGAACTTTCATGTTCATCATATCTATCTCTTTTTGATCCAGTGCCTCAGTGAATTGCTTTGTACACAGATACTGATCCCCATGCTAGAATATCATGATGATACTTCTCTAGAAGTAAAATTGTAAGTTAATTACACTACCTGTCTTTCAAAACGGTAGCATGAACTCGTGTTCTCAACTGCAGTACACTAGAGCACCCACTGAGTTTCTCTTGTGGCTCAAAAGTTGAAGAATCTGCCTGCAATGCAGGAGACCCAGGTTCAATCCCCGGGTCAGAAAGAACCCTTGGAGAAGGAAATGGCAACTCATTCCAGTATTCCTGCATGGAAAATCCCAAGGACAGAGGACACTGGTGGGCTACACTCCAGGGAGTCTCAGAGTCAAACGTGACTGGGCTAACACCAACACACACCTTGACAACCTGACCTATCACCAGTTTAAGCTGTGCTGGCTTAACAAACCCCAAAAGACTTTTAATTTGCACCTCTTTGCTTATTAGCGAGGTTGAGATATTTTTTTGTGTATTTCTCGGTCATTTCTTCCAGCAATTATTTTTGCATTCTTATCCTGTACCTATTTTTGGAGAACAACAATAATAAAATGAAAGTAAAATGAAAGGGAGCCTTTAAAAAACAAAAACAAAAAACTCAAAATGGTAATTGATTTAGCTCCAAAAACAAGTTTCCCCTGCTATTCACTTCACAGGCCTCAACAAATTAGGTTGAGCAATGCAAGTTATGTTGTAGTAATGAATTAAATATAATCTCTATTTAGTGAAATAGTTGTTCCCTGTATTCATTTTGACAAAACACAACCACATTTCTCACAAAGGATAGAAGCAGACTCCAAGCCACCTGGATAACGATTTCCATAATGGTCTCCCAGGAGCCTAATATTAATTCATGTGTCTTCATGTTAATTACAATGTTTACAACTCCCCTGTGGAGGCCATTTACTTAAATAGTGTGGAGCAGGAAGCTGAGAGGAACTGCGGTGACATTTGTCTGGCTCACAACTTGTAACCTGGAAGAAAACTTAGCAGTCTTTGCAAGTCTGGCCCCCAACAGCCACTGGCTTTGCATACTGAATGTACCCCTATATTTATTCTGGATTGAATGGTCCCGTTGAGGAAACCCTTGAGTTATTGTGCTTCTCAGTTGAGCTATTGGATGCCTTGAGAATGGATGTCCATGCCTGGATACCCCAGAAGGCATTTCCTAACCCGAATGTGGAAACACCTGACTGGCAAAGCACATGTTTAAGGGGAAAATGAATCAGCCATGCTTGGATACTGGACTGTCCTGAAAACACCCAAGACAGAACACAGATTCTCCATGTGGTATCCCCACAAAGAGGCGGCTGCGAATAGCCATATCAAGCTTTAAGCATCTTAGCTGTTTGAGGCTACGTACTAGGGACCAAGCAGGTAAAGGTGATCACTGTCCAGAAACAGACGGGAGGGGTGGAAAGAGAACAGATCTGAATACAGCAAGATTTGAATCCCAACTCTGCACCTTACTAGCTGGGTGATCTTTGACAGGTTAATTCAGTTTTCTGTGCCTCTCTTTTTTCCTGAAATGATATTGTCTATTTCATAGTAACACTGAAAGAATTAAGCTCCTGGTACACAGTGTATGGTGGCTTTAGTATTTTTAAATGTGTATTAAGATTTATTATAATTCCTGCTTTTGAAGAGCTCACAAGTTGTCAGTTTCTAAGACACTGCCCATCAGGTCTGGATTTTTGATTAGTCAAAGTTACTAATTTCCTACTCCTTACTTATACCCAAGGAAAGCCATGAAGATTAGCCTAATCAAGGGACATCCAAGACTAAGTAAACTGCTAGTCCTTAATACAAAAGTATCTTTATAGGGCTCTTTATCACTGCCTTTCCATACTTCTCCATGAAAATCACTTAGCTCTGCTAAGAGCCATTATACCTGGAGCATCAGCTGAGTAGGGTATTGAGGACAGGGGACTTGGAGACCCACTTAAGTCTGAGTATGAGTTCTACCACTTACTTGCCAATTTAGCTTATTGAGTTCATTCTCACTCTTCAATGGGAATCTCATTTTCCTCCATGCCTAACTATCTTTGAAGAGTAAGTGAAAATAACATTAAAGTATTTTGTATGCCATCGTGTGTTTATTCACTCAATAAATATTATGAAATTGATTATGTGCCAAGCATCATGTGAAGCATCAGGAATACCATGGACAACCAGAGACATAAAATTAAGTAAGTAAAGAAACATGATTATAGACTGGAGAAAGTGTGTGGAAGACAAATAAAGGTTCAAGGAAAGAGGCCAGCCAGAGAGATGTAGAGAGGATGATCAGCAAGTCTTCGCAGAAGAGGAGATGTTTAAGCTTGATAAGAAGATGGATAGGGAGTTCCCTGGCAGTCCAGTGGTTAAGACTCCATGCCTCCAGTGCAGAGCGTAAGAGTTTGATCCTTGGTTGGGGAAATAAGATCCCACACGCTGTGGGCCCCAAATAAAATAAAACTGAAGTCTTAAGAAAAAGAAAAAGGACAAGACCTGGGCCAAGAGTGTTCCAGGCAGACAGAACACACTCGAAGGGTCCTGAGATGAGGCAGCTTGTTCTAGAATGCATGGAAAATCAGCCAGTCTGAAGTCTAGTGATGGAGAGTGAGTCAAACAGGATAGGGCTGGAGAGATACACAGGCGCCCCACCTTGCAGAAGAAGCTTCCAGTATTATTACCCCCACCAAACCCTTACAAATCTTCCTGAACAACCTGCTTTCATTCACTGTTTTTCATGTACTCTGGGTTCAGTTTCATCAAAATCACCCTCAGCTTACGTTCTGTATCCTGAAACTTTATCTTATTTCATTTATTTTAATCATATTTTTTTTAATTCATCCTACCCCACTCCACTCTAAACAATCCTCAGAAAAGGATGGAGACTTGAAGATTCAAGTGGAAAAGCTCTGGAGAGAAGTCAATGCCTTGAAGGAAATGCAAGCCCTGCAGACAGGTGAGACTCGTCTTATCTCAGCAAGACAGGGGAAGGAAGTGTGATTAGCCAGCAATTCAAACCACATTGAGAGCGCGTGTCGTTCCAGGTAACATGAAAAAGAGAGAGAGAGAGATGCTGACAAGTCAGAGATGCGTCCAGGACAAAGGACTCAAAAGCTGGGAGGATGAATGCTTTGGGAAATCAGCTTGATTTTCCACTTCCTTCACCTCTCAATGAGTGGAATAAAAATCAAACCAGGCATTTCAGTAATACCTTTTAGAAGTCCATCCATAATTTTTTTTTTTTTTTCTTGTGCTGTGCAACCTGCGAGATGCCTGATCTTAGTTTCCTGTCCTAGGATGGAACTCTTTCCCCCTGCTTTGGGAGCACAGGGCCTTAACCACGAGACCACCAGGAAGTCCCCACAATTCTTTATTAGGCAATGGAAGAAAATTGAAGCAAGTATTAACTAGATAAAATAACCAGCATTCCTTAGCTGTTTACTAAGATGCTGAGGCCCCCAGGTGACTCAGTGGTAAAGAATCTGCCTGCCAATGCAAGAGACCTGAGTTTGATCCCTGGGTCAGGAAGACCCCCTGGAGGAGGAAATGGCAACCCACTCCAGTATTCTTGCCTGGGAAAGCCCATGGACTGAGAAGCCGGGCAGACTACAGTCCACGGGGTCACAAGAGTCGGACAGGACTTAGCAACTAAACAACCACAACAAAATAACCCGCTGAGAGCTCAGCCGAGGTGGAACTAAACCCAGGGTCACAGGACTCGGCCCTGGCCACAGTGAGTAGGTCAGATGCTCAGAAGAGCCGGGTTAGAGCCACAGCTCGCCAGCAGTGGGCAGCAGTGAGCGTTCCGTTATCAGAGCGCAGGTCTCCCAGCAGCCTCGGAGGCTCCCAGGGCGCGGAGATGAGAGCCACGCTGGGCAGACTCAGGAGCACCCCTGGCTTGCAAGGTTCACATCCTCAGGGAGGAATACTGTCATAGCCACTCCAAAGGCAGAGCTTCGAGGGTCCCAGAAGAGGGCTGCCCAATTACAACAGTAAATGCCTTCAAGGAAGACCAAAGTGACGGCTTTTCCATCAGCTAGTTATGGCCCCCAGGGCTCCCCAGGGGGCTCAGCGGCAAAGAATCCACCTACAGTGCAGGAGACATGGAAGACATGGGTGCGGTCCCCGGGTCAGGAAGATTCCCTGCAGAAGGAAATAGCAACTCACTCCAGTCTTCGTGCCTAGGAAACGCCATGGACAGAGGATCCTGGAGGGCTGCAGTCCATGGGGCCACAAAAAAGTCAGACCACCTGAGCGACTGAGCACGGGACATTGATAGCTCCCAGGCCAGCCGTATGTTACCAGTCTTGAGCCAGTTTTATCCTAATCAATATTGCCTAGTTACACTGCCGGCAGGGCCCTGTATCAAGTTTCCCGGGGAACAGAATTAGAAAGTTAAAGGAAGGTCAAATGCGTTTGCAGAAGGGGAAAGAGCTTGGTTAACCCTTTGGCCATAGTTGGGGGCTATAATACTTTATAAACATCAACACAGTTCAGTCGCTCAGTCCTGTCTGACTCTTTGAGACCCCATGGACTGCAGTATGCCAGGTTTCCCTGTCCATCACCAACTCCCAGAGCTTGCTCAAACTCATGTCCATCATCAACACATTAATCCTTCAATAATTTATGAGACAGATGCTGCTATAATTCTTCTCAGTTTACAGATGAGGAAACAGAGGCATGGGGAAATTAAATAACTTGTCCAAGGCTAACACAGCTAGTAAATATCAGAACTGACACCAAGCTGAGGCGCTACAGCCTGAAGCCTGACTCTCCAATGCTATGCCTTAGAACTATCTTTATATTTGGCTCATACCCTGGATAAGATAAACAATATTTAGCTCATTGTTATCTGCTGTGGGCTCAGTTATCTGCTGTGATCTTACATGCAATGTAAGTCACCTTCTTATATACTAACAACTCTTTTAAGCTTCATTATATTCTGTGCTCGGTTGCTTCAGTCATGTCTGACTCTGTGACCCCGTGGACTGTAGCCCACCAGGCTCCTCTATCCATGGGATTCTCCAGGCAAGAATACTGGAGTGGGTAGCTATTTCCTCCTCCAGGGAATCTTCGGGACCCAGGAACTGAACACGTGTCTCCTGCATTGGCCGGCAGATTCTTTACCACTGAGCCACAGGGAAGCCCCAGGCTTTACTATCCTGATATGTAAGGACAGGTGTAATACAAATCACACATCATGGGACAGTTGTGATTATGAGATGGGTTCATTTATGTAAAATGCTTGGCACAGTGCCTGACTCTGTACCAGAGTCTTCATTACACGCTGACTCACCATTATCTCTATGCATCGTCCTTTCCACAACTACTTACTGCTATTGGCCAGGGCCAGTTCTAGATTATTATACTCCCACAGCACATTAATATGTCAAATCTCACATCTTTACAGTCTGTCTCCGAGGCACAAAATTTCACAAGAAGTGCTACCTTGCCGCGGAAGGCTTGAAGCACTTCCACGAAGCCAATGAAGACTGTATTTCCAAGGGCGGGACCCTGGTTGTCCCCAGAAGCACCGATGAAATCAACGCCCTCCGAGACTATGGTAAAAGGAGCCTGCCGGGGGTCAATGACTTTTGGCTGGGCATCAACGACATGGTCACAGAAGGCAAGTTTGTCGACGTCAATGGGCTTGCCATCTCCTTCCTCAACTGGGACCAGGCACAGCCTAACGGTGGCAAGCGGGAAAATTGTGCCCTCTTCTCGCAGTCAGCTCAGGGCAAGTGGAGTGACGAGGCCTGTCGTAGCAGCAAGAGGTACATATGTGAGTTCACCATCCCTCAATAGACCCTTCTCAGGTGCATCTGCCCAGAAGGATCGGTCATGTTTTATAGGCTGATGGTTCTCAAGAATGAGTCAAAATTGTCATAGGGGAGGCTATGTCCCTAGGAATACGAGAGACAGCCAAGTTTGCTAGCAAACTGTATTGTGATTTTTGCCCTCCACGGGGAATGGGGGATCGGAAAATAACCATTCCGTCACGTACACACTGCTCAAGTAGCTTCTGCAAAATCGGCTATTAGACCTTTCTCATTCCTGGTCCCTCTTCTTGTACAGACCAGGTGTGTATTGAAAAGACAATAGTCAGAAAAGCAAGCTGTAGGCTACCTGGAAGATTTTCTGTTGAAGGTTTCATATGTATTTGAGTCATGAGGTGCTACATAATCCCAAACCTTTTCCGTCTGATGCGCAGTCTGCTCCCTCCTCATGATAGCATCCTATTAGCCCATCGCCCTTTCTTTGAGTTGCAGCATCCCCTGGTGGGACATGTAACTGCTCCGTCACGTAGATACATGGAAGTCCTATATAGGTTCTGGTTTAACTCTGTTTTCTTCAAACCCACCCCACTCCTGCCCCTGCCCCCAGTGATAAACACATCTTTTTTTTCTTTTAAGTTCCCAGTAAAGATCTGAAAGGAAATGTTAAGGCAGCATATTTGGTCAATTTCCACCCCAGTATTACATTACAGTTTCCAACTTGAATAGGTAAACCTAAAGCAGAACAGAGTAGCAGACTGTACAGAAAAAGAAATTTTTCAAGGGCTCCTTCTTCCCCTGCTTTAGTGTACCCTCTTTTATGAAATCAACAGTGGATATTATACATCTTTGTTTCCTTTTTTAAAAAACATATTTTACACACATATATATTTTAACAATCATATATTTAAGTCTATTGGAGAAAAATCTATATTTAGATCGAAAGTTGGAAGTTGGATTTAAATTATATTATTTGAGTTACATGTATATCTATACTATTTTTTTTTTTATTCTGCCAAGTGCTGCTCCCACTAAATTGTTTAGATTGTGTAATGTAATGTCATTGCTTAATACGAAATTATGAAGTTAAGGCTTGGGGGAAATGGGTTTTTTAGAAGCAAACAATTCTAGGTATAGTCTGTTCTTCAAATAAACATCTTTTCTTCCCCTTTAAATGTTGAATATGTTTTGGGAACAAAATTCTTCTTTATAAGCTTAATTATGTATGCTTGGAATTAAGCTTTAGTTCTTCACACTGCACAACAATAATAAAGCCTGAATTCTGATCAACGTGAATGTATATGGGTATCATCTGTAGTTATTCAAACTAGGTTGGTTTATATCAGACTTGAAGAAATTGGGGGAGAAATGCACTAGATTTGATCAAACTGGTGATTTAGATGTACTATAAGGATAGTTTTACTTGAGAAGAAAGAAGTAAAGTGGAGACGGAGGAAGAGCACTTTTAAGAAGTTGTACCTGCCATTGTTTTTGGTTGACCATGATCAATTTCCTCTTCCAAGGCAACCACAGTCTCCACATGGGAATCTTATCAAATTGCAGATCACAACTTGATAAGGTCTGGGCTGAGGCCCCAGATTCTTTACTTCTAAAAGCATCTAGTCAAAGCCAACAGGGCTGGACCACACACCACAGTCTGAGAACAAGGGTCTAAACCTGTAACTACTTGAGACAGTCTCTGCTGATTCTAGCAGGTCTGTTTCCCTTTAACTCAAGTCAAGGGTAGGACCTACAGTTAATCTGTGTGAAGAACAATACTGAGAGCAACTTTCTACCCATCACAGATGCTTCCAGCCATATCATTATATGATCTACAAAATAAAAATCAATTAGTTAAAGGAAACAGTAATTGAGACTCAACTTAGTGATCTGAAGGAAAACATATCTCAAGGCTCAAAGGCTTAAGTTGCATAGAAGTTCTTACACTAAAAATAAAGATATGAAATCTTTCCTGCTCTCTGATTACAGAGAACTTTCGTATTCTCACCAAATTAAGTACATCTAACAAATAAAGAAGCCCACTAATTTTAACTATTTAAGTTATTAATTTAATCCAATGTCAGAGATTCAAAGGACACCTACTAACTATAAAGCACCATGTTACATAGTACGTAAGGACAGAAAGGAAGTAAGTGATGGTATCTACACTAGCTCACAGGAGGAGAGCAAGACTTGCCACTGGAGTCTAAGAAAAAAATACTAGTAGCTCCAATTGCATACGAAAATTCTGAATTTACAGATTATTACTATCTAGTTTAACCTAAACTGAAACCCAGAAAATGGGCATTGACTTAAATAGATTCTCAAAAAGAAACACCACATTGAACATACACTAATAGTAAGAGAAAATGTGCCCACATTCAACAAGCAGGGCTGACATGTCTACTGGTTCAGAGAGGCATGTATATTCCAGGCAAACCCATTCAGAATCTTTCCCAGTGATTGCCAATGCCACTGGGAGTCATGAAACGCTTTTTGTTATTTTATTTTTGCTAGAAACATTAAACAGGAACAAAGAGAATTTAGGGTTCTGACGGAATTCTTCCTTTCCAGTTGGATGCAATGTGCAGAATGAAGCCAAACATAGATAAGCAGTGATGAGAAATGACAGGGTGGAGAGAGAAAACAGGAAGGGAAGAGACGGAGAGACAGAGAGGAAACATGTGTGTGTTTTCACAAAATGCTGAGTTTAACATTCTTAAAGCCCTGGTTTTTATTTCTGCAAATTCTCTGAGCTACTCTACAATCCCTTTCCTTTTGCATTTGAGCTAGCTGGAGTTGGCATATCAACCAGGATAGCCTAGGTTATGACTTCGCAGAGCTTACATCTAGAGAGGCAAACAAACAGTAAACAAGCAAAGAAAAAAACAAGATCATTTCAGAAAATATGACGAAATGTCAAAGGACTGACATAACAAAATGGCATAACAAATGACACAATTAAAATGACAGAGGAAGGAAGTTAAACAAGGAGATGAAAATGGAGTGACGAGAGGGAGTTATACACTCCCCCGCCCATTGAAAGAGGATGGAAAAGAAAGTGATCCATGAATCTTCAGGGCAAAAGTCCAAGAGAGACCCCAAGAGAAGTGACTAACCCCAAATCACCCAGCAAGCTGCGGACAGAGCAAGGACTGGAATTCAATTTCCTGTCTCCCAATGCCAGCCCAGGTCAAGATCAGTTAAGGTCAAGGGACTTGGAGTCAGAAGACCTAGACTCCCACACTCACTACATGTGTGATTTCAGGCAAGAATAAACGTTTGGGTCCTCACTTCCTCATCTCTCAATAGAAATGATAGATCATCCACAGAAATCTGAAAATATAATTGCTGAGCAAGCAAGCACTCTGGATACCGCATCTTTAAGAAAATGAAGAGCTTTGTTCCATTAAATAACCAAAACATCTCACAACAGAAAAACCTGAAGAGTAGGGGAAAAAATTTAAAAATTATCCTTTATCTTGGTATTTTTCATTCATTTATCCAGTTAACAGTTATTGAACACATGTATCCAGCAGTGTCTTTTTACCACCTTCCATGCAAGGTTGTAGAGGTTACATCATTAGGCAATGTTATATCCTGCTTTATTTTACTTATAACCATTTTCCTAGCCTTTCCATAATGTACTTCCTATGGCTCCATAATATTCCAATGTGTTATTAATTAAGCACATGAGTGGACGAAGGCTCAGTCACTAAGTCATGTTTGACTCTTAGCGACCTCATGGACTGCAGCCCGCCAGCCTCCGCTGTCCATGGGATTCTCCAGGCAAGAAGACTGAAGTGGGTTGCCATTTCCTCCTCCAGGAATCAAACCCACATCTCTGGCATCTCCTGCAGTGGTAGGTGGATTCTTTACGACTGAGCCATTCATGAGTGGAATTTCACTTAAACTTCTAACTTTCTGTAAATAAATGGAAATTTTGCTTTTCATTTTTCTTCTGTAGTGCTCTAATGAATATTTTTTTGGTGACTTTTTTTCTTTTTGACTGTAGGTTTTTCTCCCTTGTTAAGATAGATTTCCAGGTGGTCCAGTAGTTAAGACTCCACTTTTCCACTGCAGAGACAAGGGTTCAATCCTTGTTGTGGAGTTAAAATCTCTGCATGCAGTGCTGAGCAGCCAAAAACAAAATAAAAATAAACCAAGCAAAGAAAGACAGATTTCCAGAAGTGGAATTGTTAAATCAAAGGATAGGAATAATTTTAGCCACTTTGGATCATGGTGTGAAACTGCTTTCCGAAAGGATTGTGCAAACTGAAGATGCAGCATGCCCTGTAACACCACTAAATTTGGAGCTAGCTTGTCCTAGGTTTGAATACCAGCATGAATGCTCTGTGACCTGGAACAAATTATTTTACCTGGCCGAATACATTGCTACTTTATCAATAAACAATAAAAGTAAAACAACGTGAAGGGATTCTTAATAGAATCCCTTAGAAAATTGTTAGAATTAAAAATAAATACAGAGTTAACAGTTGGTAATAGTTGATTTCAGATATATTAATTATTCAGTTAATAAAAAGAGTGGGATGGTGGAGGTGAGAGAAGTACCTGGAAGAAGCCTCACAGGTACCAGGTAATATTATTGTATTTGTTATATTCATTTGGCTTCCCTTGCGGCCCAGCTGGTAAAGAATCCGCCTGCCATGTGGAAGACCTGGGTTCAATCCCTGGGTTGGGAAGATCCCCTGGAGAAGGGAAAGGCTACCCACTCCAGTATTCTGCCCTGGAGAATTCCATGGACTGTTTAGTCCATGGGGGTCACAAAGAGTTGAACGCAACTTTCACTTTGCTTTGAGTAACTTTCACTTTCACTTTATCTTCATTTGAGTTACACAAATTCAAGCTGTGCTAAAAACTGGGAGTGGAGACCAGCATTAAATAAAAAGTTACCAGAAATACATATAATTACAAACCAAGATGAATGCATTTTAAAACAAAGTAGGGTTTTAGAAAATCTCCAGAAGCAAGACAGAATTCAACGGGGACTAGAGCCCTTAGCCTGTGAAGAGGTATAGTTATCAGCACCCGCTTGGGGAAGTTTTTACATATTCTGGCTGCCTCCCCCCTGACGTGCCTAGAAGCCCTGAGAGAGGCGACAAGGGGGGCCGCATAGGGAGCCCCGCTTGGGGAGCAGCTGCAGCTCTGGACACGCGCACACAGCCCCCGGCAGGCCTGGGCAAGGAGGCACAAGGCGATGTGCAAGGCGATCGCGTGGCCCGACAGCGCCAAGGTGCAGGCGCTGGACGTGGCGCTGGGCACGCTGCTGGCGGCGGTGAGAGGCGCGAGCACCGGCCCTACCAGGGGTGGGCGCCGGGAGGCTGGGGCGAGCTGCTGCGCTCGTCGCTGTCCACCTGGGCCGGGTGCTGAAGCCGATTGTTCAGGACGCCCGCGCAGCGCGCATCTCTCAGAGGCACCTCCCGCCACTGGGAGTGAACTTCAACGACAGAGAGCTGCTGGCCCAACAGCCAGGCCACTTTTTCATCCAGGTCTGAGTCTTCCAGGAGCACCTGCTTCCTGGGGAGGAAAGGGCAGCGGCCTGGCTTCTGCCTTCTTCTGGGCACCAAGGTGAGGGAGGAGGGGTCTGGGAAATCCACTGCTCCTTGCCTTACCCTTTCGACTCCCAACACCAGTTGACCATAGGGGTGCAGTGACAGGTGACGGACATGATTGTCTTCTCGCCTTGCCTTGTAATGGCAAAGCTGATTATCAAGCCACCTTTTTGACAGGGAGGAAGCAACCCACAAGCTGACTCGGTTTTCTCATCTGTAAAATGCAGATAACATTTGAGGCCATCTAGAAAATGAAATTAATATTCCCACTCAATTGAAGTTGTGTGGTGATTTCATGAGATAGTGCAGGCAGAAGGACACTGCTCCAGTTTGTTGCTCATAGGAGATGCTCAGAAGATGAAAAGCATCACCATCAGCTGCAGACCGAGTTCTGAGACCTGGGGACGGGTGGGCCCTCATCTTTTTAGAGGTAAGTACTCAAAACTCAAATATCAGGTGGCTCTGAGAAAAGATACTTCCTGAGTATTCAGAGAACAATGAGAAGAAGAGTAAAATGACAGGAATCTTTTTCCCAAGGTGTAGATTTAACCAGAATAAGCGACCAAAATCAGTCCTAGAGATTCTTTTTTAACAGTGAACACTCACTTTTAACATGTGCAATCTTTTAGCATGATGTTAAAGACAATTTCAATTACTATTGTAATTTTTGAGTTAAATTTCTTCTTATAAGATCTACTTATATTCT